GCAGGAATCATTCAAGAAACAAAATTCTCATAGTCCCTAGTAAGACAATCCTGGGCTACTGTATGAATGTTATGTTGCATCCCAGTTCAGTATTACTTCTTTAAAAATAAGATGGATAATTTTTCACTTCTGGGATGTAGGAATTCAAACTGAAGGGAGAAGGGGAAGACCAGCCCTTGAAATTTCTCTGCATCCTTTTATCATGCAAGAAGAATGTGCTGCAAAATTCTGTAGAAATATCTACTGCGTGAAGCAGGACTTTGCCTTCACAGATGCCCCATCAGGAATGTGTTTGCAATGCTCCCTCAGCAGTGGCACAATGACTTTGAGATTTGTCCTGGAGCTCACTGCCCTCACTTGCCTTCAGAGAAAATGCTCATTCAGAAGGAGTGAATACCTGGTAATGCTGCTTATGGCACCTGACCCATTCTTTTCTGAATTTCCAACACTTCAGCTCAGTCAGACTTGCAAAATCATTTCCCTTGCTAGATTTCTGATGTCTGGAGTCTGTAGTCCTGTCACATACTGGGTTTGTTAATGTGTCTCCTTTTTTAAAGAATCTCATATATATTTCAAGTTCTATAACAATTTGCTTTGAGAACATCTTTCATTGGGTTGGGGAAGAGCAGTGCTCAACAAAATGCAACCCAAAAAGGAAGCAGTTGATTTCAATAATCAAATTTAAAGTATGTAAATTGCATGAAAGATTTCAAAATATAATGTTCGGATCTGGAGCCATAAATGAACAGTTGTTCAAAGTTTGGGGATGTTTCCAGGTAGCAATCAAGGTCAGTGACCATTTAGCAAGTATGAATCATTTGGAAAACACCAATTCCCTCATATCAGAGAGACATTAAGTAAGTTTTGATTTGAGCTTGTATTAAAGGACCCATATCTTCCTCATCAATTTTAAAAATAATATTATGAATTGTGCACACAATGTTAAAAATGCCTATAAGACTCAAAAGCTGAAAATCTACATGTAGGAAAGACCTCTAAAATTCCACTTTCAGGCTGAGCTAACACTGCTGGAGGTGTGGGCTGTCCCACACTTACAGGGTATCTCTGCCTTCTTCCTGCCCAGCTTGCTTGTTCCTCCTCTGCTCTGTGCACTGGGGCCAGAGCTGCTCTTGACACACAAGCACTAGTACAAACATCAGTGAGGAGACACAGAAACATATGGCTGGAGTGGGGAGAAACTGCCCTGAGTATGAAATCACAACTTGAGCCGTGCAGTTTCTTGTGACTTTTATTACTGTGACTCCTGGCTGGGGAAAAAACAAAAAAACAAAAACAAAAACAAAAACAAAAAAAAAAAAGCCCGATCTTGCTCCTTAAGTTGTTTAGATATTTGTGAATTTTTTACCGTGTATATAAAATATAGACATCTACTCTAAAATACCAGCATCTTACTCCTTTTGGCAAGATTCCTTCAGTGCAACACAATAAAAAAGGATGTTCTTAATTACCTTGCAATTTTGTTGTAAAATCAGTCTCCACAAGCACGAATAGAGCGGTACATCAGCGTGCATTAGTACAGAAATGTTTCTTCAGTTCTGGCTTACAAGAAACAATTGCAGGAGATTAATATGTATTTTTGTATATAGCTCTAAAATTGTCACTTTCATGTAAAAAGGTTGTTCTAAGTAAGAGTTCATATAGAGCATATAGAGTTGGTGGTTTGAAAGACATCTGGATTACACAGAAGATGTATTTGCTTTACTGGGAAATAAATGTACCTAATAAAAAAAGTTCCTACCTTACCTTACTGATACTGTAATTATAATTAGCACAAAGCAGGCATAAGCATGTGCCAAACAGCAATCATCCCTGCACAAACCATTCCAAAGGGCTGTCTGTATTGGCAGTCTGCTGATGTGCACTGCTTTGCAGAATTAAAGACAAGCAATCAAATATTGTGTTGCACAAATGTAATTGCTACTGCCCAGCAGTACTGGGTGTTGGACAGTGCCAATTCCGTGAGCTATGAGACCTCTTTGAACACATCAGTTTGCAAAATATCTAGTAGGAATAGCTTTAAGGAGATTTGTTACCCTGGCATTAAGAACAGAGCTGACCCTAGTGAGCAAATGCTGATGCAAAGCAGTAACGTTTGCTGTGAAGGGAAATGGACTTTCAATGCCAACGGGAAACTGTTGCAGCAAACTAGAGGTGACTGGTGACAAGGATGAGAGGCAAAGGTGATAGCAAGGCCCATCCTTTATTTGCCATTTCTTTTACTTTCTGCAAGGTTCCTGAAATGTTACTAAGTTTATGTAGTGATATTTGCAAATTTTTTTTATCTTCTTGATGTTTGCAATTCTGATTTAACCACAGAAGTGAAGAAGAGGCTATAAGTCAGCTGAAGGCATGTTCAGCTCTTGGCTGTGTTGCACAAGGGTAAATAAGTCAATGAAACTATTCCAGACATCCAGTACCATCAGTGAAAGAATGAAGCCACAACACTCAATAGTCAGATTGTTTAGCCACCATAATTCAAATACAAACAAAAGATCCATTTTACATCGGAAAATGCCTCATAAGAATAAGGAAAGTTGTTTCTGAAAAATACCAAATGTGTAAAAGCAGTGACTTCTCTGTAGGAAGATGTTATCTTCTCTGGATTGCAGCCTATCTGCATACTGCATACTCTTTAGCTGAATAAAAAATGAAGTACCACTTCTCAGAAGGCCCTTCCACTCAGTATTTCTGAAGACCTTGCTGCCATACATCCCACTTAGAGATATGGACTCATGGGACAAAATAAAAGACAGAAGTCAGAAGGCTCAATTTCTGTTTCCTGTTTAACCAAATTCAAGCCATAGGATGGCAACAGAAACCTGGTTTTGTCAAGCCATGACATTTGCCCAGGAGTAAGAAAGAGACTCGTTGCCTGAGAATCTTTCCACGCTGAAGAAATCTTCACTTTCCTAGCTAAGGCAGCTTGTGGCTAATGTGACAATTAGGAAGGATAACATCAGATCACAATTTCCACCATAAGATACAGCTCCAGAAAAGCACATCCTCAAGTCCCTTTGACTTCATCTGCACCCTGACTATTGGTAACACAGTGAGTTTACTGCTCTGAGTGGCTGTTCTTTGTCAAACCATCATCCATCTCCCAGAACTTTAGGTGATAAAAGAGTCTAATAAGCTGTAAATATTCTCCAAACATAATGAGATAATTATTTTACCAGGCAAAAATATATAGGTGCTTTTTCCAATGAGCAAATAAACATTCAGTGAGGTAAATAATTTCAGAAGAGGATTTCAATGAGCTTCTCCAACTTCGTTTCAACATAACATTTCTGCAGGTAATGATGATGGCAACATTTATAGAAAAGGAAAACATACATCCTAGACATGACCATATTTATAATCAATTTCCCATGCTGTCCTATTCACACAACGTTCTTTATACTTCAGTTGTTTCTAAATATTCCATGCTTAATTTAAAAAGTGCTTTTTATTTTAAATGCAAATAAATTTTCTAATTATTTCACATGCATTTAGTTTTGCCCAGTGTTAAAATGCTGGAGGTAATAAAAGTCAGAAGCAAGGGAGAAAAATTTAAATTTGATGTATGTAAAGGATACTAAAATTGATGCAAACATTTTATGGTCTATCAAAGCTCTAAGATTTGTAATCACTACATATACTAGTGAAAAACATCTAAAAATAAAGGCTTTATATTTTCTGTGTTAGAACTATCTAAATTTAATTGAATAAATGTAAAGCTATTAGTGATGGAAGTGAATTGAAGTCAATAAATCAGCTAAAAGCAGCTGATGTTATGGAGGGTATTTCTTGTGAAAATAAGCTATTACAGGTATATAATAATAAATACAAGTAATTCCATGTCCACACCACATATGTGCCATTCTTGGCTGTTCTTGTGCATCTTCTGGTTCTTCCAGCTAAGCAGAGTTTTCTAACACACCTTGCAGGAGCACACCTTGGATATCCAGGGATGTGGTTTCATGTCATCTAGAAAAGAAATACATTCATTTGGGTTAATGATTTTACAGTTTGAGGAAACAGGCAAGATTTTGTTTGTTGTTTTTGTTTTGGTTTGTTTGGGTTTTTTTAATGTTATTCACAATCATTTAATAGAGTAAGAAACTATCAATTTTGTAATGGAATGAAAACTTTCAGCATCAACATGGTACTGTTAAAAAATACCACAAACCTACCTCCAGGAGACTGTTTACATTATAATTGCTATTCTACAAGAGGCAATATGGAACCCAAAACTTGACAAGAGAATGTATGACAATCCTCAGAACTTTTCTCCTGAACAGTCTTCTCCTTCCTATTTTGTTTTAAAGGAAGACATTTTAGTAGATCAGCAGAAAGATAACTCTTATTTTAAAGTAATAAATTATTTATGTTTTCTCCACAAATATAATTTTCATATTATATGCATGTCCTTTCATCAGAACTGCAATAGCTGTAAACAGAAGTAATAGAAAGCGTATTAATTAGGCATTCGATTTTAATTCTGCCATGCCTTATCAGGATTCCACAGAAAAGCACTCTCCATCACCAGATTTTATCTTCGTTATTTCTTCTTATTTGATATATGGTAATATTCACCACCTGAAGTTTAAGTATTACTTGTAATAGAAACACTGCTCAGACAGATCCAACACCTTCCATGAGTACACAAACATCAAGAAAGAACACACTATTTCCTTCCCAGTCCATTTTGCATATTTATCATACTATCTATCATCTTTCTGTCTATCCATGTCCTAGACACAGAGAGATATACATTTTCATAATGTCCACTATGCAGTCTTCTGGTTTTACAGTTTTATTTACTATTTTAAAAAGCCCAAAACCTCAGAGTCAGGACACTAGTAACCCATAATGCTGACAGGACATGACAACACATTTGCTGCAGTGAAATTCTGATGGATTCATCTGTGCCTACACTGGAAATTCCAGAAAAAATTCCTAGGCACTAACACTTTATCCAGAGGGGCTGAGCAGTATGGGCTACCAGTGCCTGTGGTCACTGGGCTGCCCCTACACTGCATCCTCTTCTTGCTTCATGCCCTACTGTCAACAGCCTCCAGGACTCCAGTCCTCAATCGGTCCCCATTAATTTCTACCTACTTTTCATAAGGATACAGAAAATGGAAATCATGCTTTTCCAGGGTGCCTCATTTGGAAGTTTACTGAATATTTCCTTTCCATTCTGCCTCTGCACTGATCAACAGCCATGCAGGGGAGATGGTGCTGACTTAACTGATGTACTCTCCAGTGGATGGAACTTGGAGCTGGCAGGTGAATATTCAATAGGCTAATTATAATTTGCCTGATAACAAGATAGCCACAATTTTAGTGCTGAGTATTTAAGCACATTGTGGCTAACAAGAATCTGTTGTTCTTGATGCACGTGCTCATTCTCATTTCTATTTGCTGCAGTTCTGTTGCTCACAGGCTCTATCTCAGGGACAGTCAAAGAGCTTTCCCATCTCTGTGCCAAGGTCTGTTTAGGACAAGCAACAAAGCACGACTGTGAAAACTGCTCAGATTTTTCTACTATATGTTGTGCACTCAGAAGTACATTCTGTCCTGAAAAGTCAAAAATGAAGAGGGTAAAATGTAGTATGAGCAATGTTTTTGGAATGGAGGGATGGGAGAGATCATGAGCTGCAGAATGGACCAGTTGACTCAGGCAGGGACTGATTGGCTACTGAAGGCCATAAGCATATAGGGATCTTAAAGTTTACATGGTTTTCATCCAAAAGATGGAAAACACTCTGTAACAAATTCCATCTACAGTTTCCAACACAGTCTTCCATTAGGGACCCTCAATTTCCCTCTATTAACAAGTGAAATAATAGTCTGTTGCCTCATCTACTGCAATATCTGTGTTTGGAGAAATAAGAGGCAAGGGGCATTTGTGCCTACATTTTTTCCTGTGGCTTCAGTCCAAATCTATTAATTTTTCTCAGATCTATACTTGCAGAACCTTCCTTAGTGGGATTGCAGCACACATGAAACCAAAACATCTCACGTTGTCTCAAGTCCTGTTACATTCTTCTTGTATTTTGACAAAATTCAGAGCATTTTCAATCCCCTTAAAACTGATTTGAAGCAACTGCCTTTAGACAAGTTGATATGCCCTCTGGAGGTGTGAATTTTCCACCATTGTTTGTGCAAGAAAACTTGGGTGAATAGCTCAAACCTAGAAGTCTAACTTATACACCCAGGTTCACTCAGTTTTAGCCTTTTTCTCAGTTTCTCTACATGTAGAAAATATTTATATAAAGAAGCACTCTAAGGGAAAGTGAATTCTTTACAGGAGGTTGATATGACTAAAAGTCAAGTTCTACCACAAGCTGGTGTAATTCTTAACTGATTGTTATATTCAAGGCCAGAGCAGAAACAAGTTTGAAAAGCCAAGGCTTTGCATGTCAAACAGAAGTGGTCCTCAGCATGTCGGGAAAATGGCAGTGATAAACCTACTATTAGGCATCTGGGAGAGAAGCCCAGCATCTCCTCTGTGTGTGGGCTAAAATAGAAATGAGCCACTATCACAGATAATGGCAGCTTGTAGGCACATGAAGGGAGCAACTAAAATCCATTTCACTTAGACAAGAAACTGCAGTCTGATATTTGCCTGCGTCCGTCACATGTGAAAAGTGTTTGCTGTGAATTATCCAAGAGAAAAGTGCAGGTTTAGGGGTTTCATTACCCATCTGAGAGTAGTTCAGATCACACACTGAACACAAGAAATCACAGGTAAATCTCAGACTGGTGTCTTGGGCAGTCAAATGGATTCCTGCTATTCATCTGAGTATATGCCTGTTCCTGGAATTGCTGGAGGCCCACCTCTAGAGCACTGAGAACATGTGCAGACACATAAAAAATGTGCAAGTAAAATAAGCAGAGTAAGCTTTGTGTGGTTTTAGAACATTAAGATAACTTTGAAAATAACTCTCAGTCTACTGCTAATGTTAGGGACAGCACCTTCCAACATTAGAAAACTCAAGGCACAGATAGGTCTGTAAATAGCTACTCTATAGCCTTGCTGATTCTGGCAGAAGTTGTAATAAAGAGCCCTTTTTAGGAACAGTTGGAATTCCATGCAGGTATATTGTCATATTTTCACCTTTTCCTCAATGGAGAAGATAATAAAATCAATATATTTCTTAACATCAGTTAACATCACTTTTGCACATGACAACATATTGGAAGTGAAGCTCAAGGGACTCAGCAAAACACAAAAATGGACTTTTAATTTAAAACTTACAAATAAGTTTGTAAATTTGCCCAGACTTTGAGTGAGAGAGACTCTAAAGTCACAGGTTTCTCCAAACCTAATGCTGAGCTCCCAGGCACTCTCAAATTCCAAGATACAACTCAAAGTTAAGGCACCTGAGAAATACTAGGGAAAATCATAGCCAACCGAATGTCGTATTATTGTTTCAATGTTTGCTATTAAAAGTAAGTGTTAAGTTTTAAGTAAATGTATTGTCTTCCCAAATCTTTCCTTTCAAACAAGCACTTCTGTCAGAAGTGTCTTAATTTCTTATCACAGAATTTCATCCACACAAGGAGCAATAAATAATTCATGTTCCCAGCTCTTTGTTATGTGTCCCTGAACTGCACAGAGCTGGAAGGCTGACAGCTGTGTCAGGACAAGCACCAAAGATCTGACATGACAAGTGACTAACAAGTTTCTTTCAGTCTATAGTGAAAGAAGACAATGGCATAAAGTGCAAAAACAAAATCCTGAAACAAATTGAAACTGTTTCTTTCTCTTTACCTAAGTGTTTGCTATGAGCTTATTTCCGACCCATAACCTCTGGTCATTTTATAGTACTGCCCAACCCCCTTTACTCCTCACATTCGCCTGGCCATTTACGCCTGTCCACGGATCAATATGAGCAATTCTTGGAGAAATACGATGTCTCCATGACAACCAAGCCACAAATTCTCAGTGGAAAGCAGTGAGACCAGTAGTGAAATCTCCTGAGGTTTTCAGACCTATAAGACAAGATGTCTTAAAATGCAGGAATGGACAGAAACGAAAAGCAGAGTAATTCATTGTTTATTACTAGTTTAATGATGTCAGATGGACCGAATGGAACTCAGTTTTTAAGTTTAGATGCTTTATCAACATGTATTTTTGCCAGTCAATATGCACCTCCTGACAGGCTTTTATTCCTTCCATTACTTCATATAGATATGCAGACTGCAGAACTCAATATTCAAGTTCCCATCCAAACATGTACACTTTGCCACACTGACTCAATTTAAGGTTTAAATTAATGTTATCTGTAAGATACATCAATTCTCACCTGAACACTTCAGTGCCACCTTGTTCTAATTCTTTCTCACTTTAGAACAGACCAGAACTTGGACAACCTGCATTTTTGCCCATTATAATTGTTGAAGGGACTATGGATGGTTTCTGAAGGAGGTGCCATGCACCACAGATTGTAGGTGCTGTAAGGAATTAAACTTGGCTCCTTTCTCAGTAGATTATCTATTTCTTTCTAAATCTCATGCTGGTTTGTGCCATACAGCATTGAGTCCAAGCCTACGTGGCTCTAAAAGGAATACAGGCTTACAATTCATTGGTTTCAATTATTCTAACATATACTGGTGTCCATTCCTGTGGAAAAGATGAAAAGGGAATGTAGTTCAAATCAGGTATATGACAGCAGTTGAACTCCCAAGGAATCTTGGAGGAGTGGAGCGTGCTGAAATATAATCCCCTAGACATGGGTCCTATCTGGGTTCTGAGATGACTTTGGGGACCTGACATGGATTTCAGACTGCACCCTTTGACTGAAAATTAAATCTCAGCAGTGTTCCTTGGGGAAGGATCAGGGGACTGTTGGCAGCTGCCCCCTGTCAGCACAGGCTGCAAGATTTGGAAATCTCTTAACTAAGCTGACAGGCCGCAGAGATGATGAATCAAAAATATGATACACGGATCAGCACACAAAGATGCAAGAGGGTACACAGAAACCAGATAAAGCAGGGAAGGAAAATATCAAGTGAAGAAAGATGTTTAACTCCTTCTCTAATGAGGACTCTGTGCAGGTTACAGATACAGTGTATGTAGGTCAAGCTCACAGTTTGCTTAAAACATCTTAGTATTTAGTCGCACAGAGTATTTTTAATCAGCTGTGACTCAATACACTTTCTATTTAATTGTCTCCCTTTGAGATTCATTTAATAAATTTCATAGATGTTCCCTAACAAGAAAGATAATGAAAGTACATGAAGATAAATCTTTTAGTCACCAAAAAAAATGCACTTTATGGATGTTCCTGTATTTAGCTGAATCAATGCTAAGAGCCATTAAAATGAAATAATGATTGTGAACTGATTTAAAGAAAAGAATCAAGCTATTTAACGTGACCAATTTGCTTTCCTCCAGAGATACAGTGTTTGAATGTCCACTGCTACATTCTATTGCAGTATATACAGTCCTTTTAATTTTTCATAATCTCATGCTACCTTCAAAGGGTCAGACACTGTACATATATTAAGTAAGCAACATAGTCCAAAAGTAATTATAATGAACTAGTAGTGTCAGCTTTCTTTTTGGTTATAAAGCCTTTATCCTTTCTAAGACCTGAATTCTTGATGAAAGAGGAAAGGATAACAGCTCCACACTGTGACCCCTGGAGGTGACCATTAATTTGACATTGCAGCTGCTAAAAAGGAAGCAAGCATTACAGTGTGCTTTTTTTACAGACCCAAAAGCTGTGTCAGATTTGTCACTTGATACTTGGTGACTGTCTTTAAATGCCTCTCACCTGGACTCTCAGACTCTTCCAAGACACATCTGTCAGGCATATCCTCCACATCTTGGAAGTTTGCCGAGTTTGAGCTCTTGTCATGCTTCAGTGCACTCACTGGAGTAATAAAGAACAAAAACAAGGGGAGGGAGAAATGGAATGTATTCAGAAACAAACAATTCCTGGTTTTCTGCAGAGCTCTCAGTGCTGAAGACATACTTCGTAAACACAAATAATAGAATGAAATAAAACAGAAACTCAAAGTACTTATATGCAACCATAGAAGAGTTGAAAAATCTATAGACAAGAATTAATTCAGGGAGAAGTTTGAGGCTTTGGCTTAAATGTGATTCCTTTGAAGCAATTTTTTTTTTTTCTGATAGAATCCTAAAACAATAATTTAGAAGCCATGAAAAGTGCTTGTCTGTTTCACCAAAGCAGCCAGTAAACAATATAAAAGATCAATGAGGTGGTTTTGTAATTACTGGAGTCATTCACCAGGGAGAGAATTGGTGTTTGTTTTAAGATGAAAATATGTTGTATATAACAAGCTAGAATGTGTAATAAAATCACTGATAATTCCAAAGTGCAGTAAAAACCAGCTTGAGTTACAGTTTAGGGATTACCAAATTTTATTTCCTTTTATTGTTAATTGCTAAAAACATTTTCCCTTCAGAGCAGGAAAATATTTTCATGGAAACAATTATTTGTCTGTATATGACTTTTTAAATTCACTTCACTTTAGAACAAATGCCACGTAAGTTTTTCCTGGACAGAAGGCAGGTAATTCCCTTGTCAATGTCCATTTCCTACTCTTCTACTCCACAGATATTTTTGCCCTAATAAATACCTAGGAAACCAAGCAAAGTTCCAAACTTCCATGTGGACAGGGATGCCAATGGCTCTGCAAAATCTCAGTGTAGTTGTGTCCTGTTTTCAAAACAAGAAATTTGTTCCTTTATAACTTTTGATTGTTTTGTTGGTTTTTTTTTCCCCACCAAATGAATATTTGCTGAAGGATGAATTAAACACCCACTTAAATTTTCCAAAACTTTGAGTGAATCAACACAGCCTCAGGCCATTACTCAGACAGGAAATGCTCAAAAGAGATATTCCACCTCAGTGCTCTGCACTTGCCATTGGTTTGCAACTATTGATTCCAGGTCACCGAAAGGTTCCATTGTTCTCCACTCCCGCCTCCACACAGAGCTTGTTGAAGCAATCAAGGATGCAATACAATTGTGGAAATAGATCCTTGAAAATGTAATATTAAAACATAACAAATACTGAAAGCTGTTATAGCAACATAGTGCATTTCAACTTAAAAAAAAAAAAAAGCAAGCAAAAAGAAAAATGTCAGTAAATTTTGCTTTAAAAATCTGCCTTGGATGGCAACTAACCTGTGTACAAAACCCTACCCAGGTAGAGCAGGAACACTGATTAGATTTCTGAACTCAAAAAAAGCCAACAGACTTGTATCAACAGCAACTTATCCACATGAAGAGGAGCTTTAGTCCTTATCTCCGCCATGGAAGTTCTGATATCATGATTTGCATGAAGTGAGCTGACACTGAACAGCTTACAATGATGGCAAATGCTCCTGTTCAGCCATATAAATGCTATGATATGTGCAGGAAGAAATCTCTTCAAATATATCAATGCTTTTCTTGCACTTTTTACAACATCTGAACAGTTTTCAAATACACTAATTGAAGGCCAGGACTCCCACTTCAAAAAACAAAAATTGGAAAATGCAAGGATGCATAATTTTAAAAAATTAGAATTGTTTCAAATTTGTTAGAATATTCTTCCTGAAACAGTTCTTCCCATTAAACATTTAGCTCCGCTGTCTAGTGATAGAGTCATAGCTCTGTGAATTTACAAGACAAAACTACTTTGAAGTAGAGCAATAGGAAAATTTCCAGCAGAGCACACTGTGATAAAAGGGAGAAAGCAAAAAGTACAGCTATGTCTCTGCAGAGAAAGAGAAAAATCACAAGATCAGCCCTCTCTAAAAGACCTAGTAGTGACCAAAAATTCAGAATTTAAAATGAATGCTTTTACCCATTAAAGAACTTCCACAGCCAACCAAAGAGGGGAGATGCTTCCACAACACTGAGCACCAGTCTCAGTAGGAGAGGGCAGGTACTTCCCTTGCTGGAAGTCTGTGCTGTAGTTGCTCTTGAATGGGACGAGGACAAGCATGTTTAAGTGCTCTGCCTCTGTCCCAGACTGTGTGAGCATAATTAAAGTAATTTAAAATAACCTGCTTGGTTTTACAGCAAGGTAGAGCTGAGCAGTGTGTGTAGCACAGGTACCAGATTTGGCTGAGAAGTGACTCAGAACATGATGAATCAAAGACCAGTAGAAGAAGGACCGTGCACAGATGAGATACATCAGAAAGAACGTGTGAAGTGAACAAGAAAGAAACTAAGACAGACAGCAAGATCCTTTGGAAAACCAGGATGATCTTCAGTCTATATACTTGAGTAGAGACTTGGACACATTTGGGAGAGGATGGAGTCCCTGAAAACCAAGAAAGACAAAAATGGCAGAGCTGATATGGCTGAAAAATTACAAAACCCAATGATGAATCACTTGTTGGTGGCAAGGAGACATTAGGAGCAGTTTAAATGGAGTGGGAAGCGTGGATTAAAAGAGTTTTCACTGGGACAGAGAAGCAGACTTGTGTAAAAGGAGCTAGTGGAGAATGAAGTTCAGCAAGAAAAAGAGGAGGGAAAGTTTTCAGAAAACCAGGAGACAGGCTGGGACAGGCTAGGATGGGGTCACTGTTGCAAGAGAGAGATGTGTATCTTAGCCTCGTCGCATTCTCAGAAGTACACAGACCTCGTGGGACAAAATTGAGGCAAATAAACTTCCCTGTACCCTGGTTGATGAAGTTACATAATGAGTGTATGCAGTGAGCAAGAAAGGGACCTAGGCAGAGACCTAGGTCTTCCTTTTTTAAAACATCACGTTATATGCTCAATTTGAAGGGGAAGGTTCCTTAAAAATATCATGAAAGAACAAAGGGAACTGAAAAGTTAAAAATAAGGAAGGAACAGTCTGGCCCAAATAAAGAGTGAAAGTAAAAAATGGCATTATATAATCATGAAAACAATAACAAACAAACAAAAAAAAAATCATAACACTGACACCTACTCGTGTATTTTTCCCTTAGGAGAATAGGATTCTGTGTTCAAATGTCAACAGCAGAAATACTGTTCTGAACTGCTTATACCTAAGATACTGAATGGAATTTAAGTTATTTAAACATAAACAGGGTGATCTTTATTCATTCTGAGGATACTCTATCCTACTTTGGGTTTAAATGGACCTTAAAATTACTTTTGCTTCCATTTGAAAGCCAATCTGTGTAGCCAAAGTGATGTAAATGACTGGAGTATAAATGAGCCCCAAATCTACAACACAGAGAAAAAGTTAAGAAACAATAATTTCTGATAAAACAACTCTAATAATGTTTTCTTTCTATTCAGTGCTATGCAATTACATGGACAGCAGAGATTACCTTTGTTAGTATGGAAGTAAGGTAAAAGGACAGATTTCATTGAGGCAAATACCTTGAACTTAGCATATAAAAATGACATAAATCTTCATTGTACAGGATCAATCTTGAGAATTGTGGTAATTTTTTCTGATACATCTTAATAAGCTCTTTAGAATTGTTTACTGAACTTGATGCCCATTCTCTTACATTATTGAAACGAGAAATGAAAAATTAGGCATGGAATTCGGATTAGTAAAAGAATACCATAAAACCATAGTATTCAATGAAACATTTATGCAACTACTTTCAAAATACTTCAAATTCCACAAAACAAAGACAATTCTTTCCAAAAAGAGATCACAGACTGATTGTTGACCAATCTTTGAGGAAAGAACGATTTTTTAATGAACAAACTGCTAAATTATAAACTGTTCTTTGTGAATATAAACTAAGCATTAATTCCACCAACAACTCATCACTATCATTTACTTCTACACGTTCTGTTTAAACTCTGAACAGCCTTGCTCCAGTCCAGAAATGTCACACTCTGCTCAGCACACCTGTTTTCAGAGGGCAGACACGTTGGAGAAAGAAGTTTGCAAAACACCAGTGAATAAACCAGTTAGTGTTTTCTGATAAAGTGCCTTTGTTATTGATAATGCACATTAGTAACTTAAAGACAGTCTTTCTGCAGAGGAAACCAGGACTTGTCATTCAAAACAAGTGGATAAGGCAACAAAAAAATGATTTTTCAATCAAAAATGTTAGGCAAGAGAAATGTATTTAAAGTCAAATACAGAACCCAAAGCAATTTGGATCCAAAAAGAGCTGCATGAAAAAGCTGTAAAGGAAAACAAAACACTGATATTTTTTATTTTCTTAATTGGATAAAACAATCATGCTGCAGTGCCACTGCTAGGATGCATGGGATCTAGAGGCACTTACTGAATTACACCTAAGAACCTTGATGGAGAGCTGGGCAAGAAATGCTTTGAGTACTGCTTGAAGAAGCACATTTCTTAGATACAAAGAAAAGGCATAAGAACAGCTGTGCCTGCAGAGAGCAGATATCATCCGTGTAAGAGCCCAACCACCAGACAGTAATACTGCACCAGAAATTGCTCCTAAACTCCAATTTGAAGTTCAGGGGAATTTTGTTTCGTTTTGTTTGTTTTGGTTTGGTTTTTTATTTAATAACTCAGAGTAGATTTCTGTTTCACAAATTTCTCCAGTTTTCCCTTAAACAAGCAGAACTTTTGCATCCTTAACAATCTACACCCTACCTTGCCATAACAGGACAAACTCTATAGTCTCACTCCCTGGGTAGGCCTGCCCTTTGGGTTGGTTGCACATGTCCCTGCCAGCTTCATGTGAAACTTGCTCTTGTATGAGAAAAGGCAGGTGTACCAGCCCTCACCTCCATGATGCTGGTGACTAAACAGTCCTTTTTTAAATCCTCTTTCAACCTTTTTCGAGGTCGAGGATCACTGTTCTGCTTAGCTTTTCCCATTTATTTTGACACCAACATAAAAGGATACGATGACTTCACTAATTGTAGAAGAAATGCAGAAAACATTTGCGAGATGCCAAGTGAAATGTCAGCAGTGCT